GAGGGGGGCAATAGAGTTTCCCTGGTGTTGGCCAGAGGGGCCACCAGGGAAACCTGGGGAGGGCTAGCCTCCCACTAGTTCAAATTAAGGGACTACACACCCCTTAATTCGAACTAGTAAATTCGAACTAGGCTTAGTCCTCGTGCAATGAGGTTTATCTAGTTCGAACTAAGCGCTCCGCTAGTTCGAATTAAGTTCGAACTAGCGGAGCGCTAGTGTAGCGCCTGTGAAAGTTAATTCGAACTAACGTCCGTTAGTTTGAATTAACTTTGTAGTGTAGACATACCCTAATGTATTAGTGAGCATGTCTGCAGACTCCATACAAAATTCCATGTGCCATAAATCCTGCTGATTTTTTCTCCATGCTTTCTGTTGGGCATGTACTCACATTCCAAGTTAGAACTGAACAAGCCCAGAAGGAAACTAGAGTTCACTTTGCTGTGGAGGTTCTTTATTTTAAGAGATTTGTAAAACCATAGTCCTGACTACTCATGATCATTTAAGAGCTCATAAATACAGGACTCTTAGCCCTGGTGTCCTGGCCAAATTCCAAGTCAGGTAATTCCATTCCATCTCCCAAATTCCTCCTTTAATTTCACATGGATATGGTACTCTTCCAAAATCATTATGTAACATGGATGTGTGCTGTAAAACAGCTGTTGCAGTTCACTCCAGAAATGAATGCAGCGTGTGTATGTTAATCTGTAAAGGGCATGAAAAGTGCTGTGTAAATATAAGATGATGATACAGTACACTTCTCCCAGAGAACTGCTTTCTCTATCCAAGTGTTGTTCGGGAGAAGGATTGTTTATTTAGAGTGTTTCAATATCCTGAATACTTGTGTCCACAGAAAATTAAGCAGCTGCAGAGCTTCTAACCTCTATCCCAGTCCCTCCATCACTGTCTTTTTCAGAGAAAAGCTGTATAGATATTGGAACAGATTTTAGAAACTCTGCTGGGCTACGTCTACACTGGCCACAATTTCCGGAAAAGGGATGCAAATCAGGTAAGTCAGGATAGGGAAATCCGCGGGGGATTTAAATATCCCCGCGGATTTAAATAAACATGTCCGCTGCTTTTTTTCCGGCTTGGGGAAAAGCCGGAAAAAAAGCGTCTAGACTGGCGCGATCCTCCGGAATAAAGCCCTTTTCCTACTTTGAAGTAGGAATAAGAGATCCTCCGGAAAAGGGCTTTATTCCGGAGGATCGCCCCAGTCTAGACGCTTTTTTTCCGGCTTTTCCCCAAGCCAGAAAAAAAGCGGCGGAGATGTTTATTTAAATCCGCGGGGATATTTAAATCCCCCGCGGATTTCCCTATCCTGACTCACCTGATTTGCATCCCTTTTCCGGAAATTGTGGCCAGTGTAGACGTAGCCCAGCTGACAAAAGGGCTTCTGTGAGACTCCATGATTAAAACAGATTTACTCCAACTTGTGATATCAACTGTATCATCTTATTACCTGTCTCTGTAATAGTTCCAGTGCTGGCAATATGGACTCCAACATCAATGAATTCAGACAGAGTGTCTTCCATGGAACTGTGCATCAATATATAGACTGCACATTGGAGTGAAATTGCTCCCCGAAACTCACACTAACAATTGCTAGCAATAGCATTTCAGAACTGAAGACTTTCCTGTGCAATCTGTTCAGGAAAAAGTAGAGCTAATTTTTCTTTGGTCTGGGCAATATGCTAACAGTGAGGTGGAGATGAACTTCTAGTGGGCAGTGTTTGTGCAGTGATGGGATTTCTTTTTAAGACATGATTGTCTCCAGAATGACTGGTTTCACCTCATCAGAGTGGTGAATGAGACTTGCCATTGTTGTCTGAGATTACCACTCACTATACAGACTTTTAACTATAAATTCTTCAGTTCTTCCATATCAGTGTTTTAAAGGGAGTGGAACAGCTTTTGCAGGAAAATAAAAATAAAACAAGGTTAAAACTTTAATGTCCTGAATCAGTAACAGAATCAGTAGGTGGACTTACAAATAGAAGATCTATATTATACATTCAATTTTAAGATAATTTCCCCTTTCTTTTACCTGATGAAGTCTGAGCTTAGAAGCCCATGTATCCTCTATAACAGAAGGTGACTTTGAAAGTACCTCAGATAGATAGTTCATCCTAGAGCAGGGATCGGCAACCTTTTCAAACCAAAAAGTTAAACTACATCAAAATTCAGAACAAGTGGTCAACAAAGAGCCATATAAAAATGCCCATTTGCATGACCGAAAATATACAACTTAATATTATTGATAATTGACGTGATGATTAATAATAGCATAAACAAAACATTGTAATCACAGGCTTTATTTAATGGGACTTCTGCTGCTACATCTTTTCACACATTTCTTTGAAGTTTACATCATAACTGGTCAAATCCAGTTTCATGAATACGTTCAGGCTGTCTTTTGTCAATCTTAAGTGGGAGTGCGGGAGTCTGGGTTGGGTTGTACAAGGGGATTTGGGTGTACGATGGACCCAAGGCACAAGGCTGGGGTGTGTGGGGGTGCAGGAGTTTTATGGAAGGGGGCTGGGAATGTAGGGGCTTGAGGGGCTCATGGCAGGGAGTTCAGGTGTATGGTGGGCTCAGGGTTGGTGTGGGGAGGAGGGTGCAGGAGTGTTATGATGCTGCAGCCAAATGGGGGCTGAATGCCAATTGGCAGCTTGTTGGACAGGCTTCATTTTTAAATAAAATAAAATATTATGTCCAACACAAAAGATTTCAACATTGTCTTTATTTCTGGCAGGGATAGGGTTGCCAGATGGCTTTATGACGTTCAGGGACAAAACCCATTAACCTCTAATAGGAGCGATCAGTAGGAGTTTATTTCTGTCTCAATTGGACTCCGTTAGCTCTGTCACCATGCAGAGAGCTGGTCTCCACCTGAGATGACTCCTGTGACTCTGTGTTTTCTAAGCACTGAAGCCTGCTTGCTTTCTACACACCCCACACAAGCTCTCACCAATTGCTATCTATGAGTTGACTGTGTGGTGCAGGGTTTGAGGCTGATGTTAGGTGCATTAGTGAGGGTAGCTGAGTGGCCAGATCAGGAGTGACTTTGCCCCATGTGCATTGCTACATCCTAATTGCAACAAATAGTACCTCTCCTGGACTACGGCACCACAACACACATGAACAGTGCTCAGGAGCAGGGACAGGGCTTCTCCTCCTCCCCAAGGCATCACTCCTCCTCCGACGTGATTAGCTGAGGGCTCCCAGCACCAATCTCAGCCACTCCCCCCGCCCCTGCCAGGCTTCTGTCCAGCGCCCAGCCGGAAAAGCACTTGCTCCAAGATTTTCATGTCCATAATTTCGTCCCAGCCACTCCCTCCGCCCCCACCAGGCTTTTGCACGCTACCACAGGCTCCCAGCACCGAATGTGGCCCCGCCTCCCAGCCACTCCCCCTACCCCCGCCAGGCTTCCATCCAGCGCCCAGCCGAAAAACGAGAAAATACTGGACATTGCACATGTCCTGTATTTTCTGAATTTTTTTACTGGACAGAGGGCGCAAAAACCGGACTGTCCGGTAGAATACCAGACACCTGGCAACCCTAGGCAGGGGTGGGGAACCTTTGTTTGGGTCGGGGGTCACAAAAAAATAAGTTGGGGACCACACAAGTGAGAAGCAAAAAATAAACCCTCAGAAACCCCCAACCCTCACTGATGTGACCCCCAACTCAGGCACCTCACTCCCCTGGTGCTTCAGCCCCATAGTGTGGGGAGGAGCAGGGAGTACTGAGATTCAAGGCCTCAGACCTGATTTACTCTTTTGGGTTTCAGGTTTAGTGAATTTTGTGGGGCCACCTAAGCTCTGGGGTGGGGCCAAAATGAGGGGTTAAATGTGCAGGACAGGGCTGCCAATGTACGGGATAGGGATGGGACTGCAGGATCTGAGCAAAAGGTGGGGTATAGGAGGGGAAGAGGGTGTGAGGTCTGGGTGGGCAGTAGGAGTAACTGGAAGGTCTGTGTGGCTGGGGGTAGGTTGTCAGGCCAGGGAGCAGGGAGGGGTCAAGCTGTCTGGAAAAGGGATTGGGGCAGGGTGTCTTGCCAAGGTGGGTGAGTGAGGGGATGGGGTCTGGGCATGAGGGAGTGGGGGGGCACTTGTTTTTGCACCACATGGCAGGCATCAAATCACATGGCCTCCCACTGTTCCCATTCCCCAGAAGGAAGCCTCCAAGAAGTGTCCTGGGAGCCATTTTTGGCTGCTTGTTTCCCCCACGCTGGGGGAAGGAAAACACTATTGCACTGAGCCATTTTTAGCTCTGCTTTTTCCCTGCACGCGGAAACTTGAGGCTTTCTTCATCCCACCCCCAGGAAGCCGGCATTGGCATTCCAATCTTGCAGGAGGGCTGTAAGGCTGTAGCACCAGCACTGGCTTCCTGCTAGGGGAGAGCAAGAGCAGGTTGAGCTGGGGGGTCCAAAAGATCCATATCTGACTCCCTAGTGAGCCATATTTAGCTCATGAGCCATAGGTTGCCGACTCCTGTCCTAGAGCATTATGAATGGCAAGTTATAAGAGACTGAGGGTATGTCTACACTACCACCCTAGTTCGAACTAGCGGGGTAATGTAGGCAACCAGAGTTGCAAATGAAGCCCGGGATTTGAATTTCCCGGGCTTCATTTGCAACTCCGGTTGCCTACATTACCACCCTAGTTCGAACTAGCGGGGTAATGTAGGCAACCAGAGTTGCAAATGAAGCCCGGGATTTGAATTTCCCGGGCTTCATTTGCAACTCCGGTTGCCTACATTACCACCCTAGTTCGAACTAGCGGGGTAATGTAGGCAACCAGAGTTGCAAATGAAGCCCGGGATTTGAATTTCCCGGGCTTCATTTGCAACTCCGGTTGCCTACATTACCACCCTAGTTCGAACTAGCGGGGTAATGTAGGCAACCAGAGTTGCAAATGAAGCCCGGGATTTGAATTTCCCGGGCTTCATTTGCAACTCCGGTTGCCTACATTACCACCCTAGTTCGAACTAGGGCGGTAGTGTAGACATACCCTCTGGGATCGAGAAAGTAGGACTTGGAAGATAGGTGAAGGACCTGAGGTTAAAATAAGTTAAAAACCAGCTCTTTTTAAAAAGGAGAAGCTATTTGCAATGATAGGTGCGGTTATAGTTTTCTGTTAGTGGCATATATTAAATATACTTTATTTTACAACAGCACTTGATTTTCCTTTTTATTAGAGAGAGAATTGTGCTGGCCCTGCTGGTCCCTGGAAGGATTCCCATGTAGACCTTTGCTTCTGTGGAGTAGTAGGTGGCATATAAAGGTCTTATATATGCTCAGGGGTGGCCCATGACTATAGGCCAATTCGGCCGTCGCCTAGGGCGCCACCTTCAACGGGGCGCCCTATGATGACGTCACGGGGCGCCTGATGATTACGTCACTCCATCTAGGACGCCAGCTGCTGCAGCCTGCCTCGGGCCGCTCCTGTATATGCTGCTTGCTCAGAGTGAGTCAGCCCACTGTAGATGCAGATATAAAGGGAGTATGAAAGTGATCCATGTTTAATTTAGTAAAGGTACACATTTGCACATTTGCAGCAAGAAGTGGGTGGCTTCCTGATGCACAAATGTACCTCTGCCCTCTCCGTAACATTTCTTCCTCCTGCTTCATAGGTATACTACATAAACTTCACAGATTTTGCCAGCTATGAGGTGGTAGTGGATGAAAAGCCATTCCTACAGTGCACCCGGAGCATTGAGACAGGCAAGACCAACTTCAACACGTGTTACACAGCAGGGGTCTGCCTCCTCAAAGCCAGGCAGAAGGTTGTAGTGAAAATGGTCCATGCTGACATCTCTATCAACATGAGCAAGCACACGACTTTCTTTGGGGCCATACGGCTAGGAGATGCACCAACATCTTAATTGAACTTGGCATATACCTGGAGTCTCCAGAACTACACAGTGCTGCTGTTCATAAGAGTATGAGTGGGTTCTATAATCCAGCCACAAAGAAAACTGATTCAGCGCTCTTTGTTTATGTGGATACAAGAAGAGCAAGGTCACCTGTGATTTTCATGGAGGCTTCTATTGGAAAGGTAGTGCAGAAAGCGTTGTGAGGAAGAAAGGCTAGAGGGTCCTTTCTTGTCTCCGTGTTTTAAGTGCTACTGCGCTGATATTCTGCGCTATGGTCCTCATCAATGACATTTGTCGTGAGAATGATATGGGTCTCCTGCTTTTATGTTGCACTAGCTGTAGCATTCATGGCAGTGACAGAAGGAGAAAAAAACAGACTTTCTGGTGAGTTGTTCTACCCAGGCCAGGGCTGGGCAAGATGTGGCCAAGGGGCCAGATCTGGCCGGCCTAACGCTTTGATCCGGCCTGCAGACTGCATCTAGTCACTTTCTATTTATATCCTGCTGGCCATGCCTCTGAATTTCCAGGCTCATGGCTAATGGTCGCAGCACTACACTGCCAGAGGTTGAAGCCACGGGCCTTTTAAATAGCCACAGTAATCCCACGCGGCTGCCAGGCAACATGGTAACAGTGGGGCTAGGAACCACGAGCCCTTTGCTGTGTTTTTAATTCAAAGTCTCTGGCCCCAGACAGTTCTCTGCCTCTTCCTCCCCAGGCCTCACTCCAGTTCTCTGTCCCCAGTCCTTCTCCCCAGGAAGACAAGATCCTCTGTCCCTAATCCTTCCTCCCCAATCCTCTGTCCCTAGCTCTGCCTCTTCCTCCACAGGTCCCACCCCTTCTGGGGGTGGAGCCATCCTGTGACCATATAGCAAAATTCATTAAGTAGCCCCTGCAAAAGTTATTGCTCACCGCCAATCTAAGCACTCATGCTCTGCTACTCCTGCACACTGATCAGGGCAAAAAACGAGGGGTTTCTCCACCTATGAGAGTCCATGGTATGTCTAATCTACACCCCTTTTTTGAAAAAGGAGTGTAAATTAGACATATCAAAATTGTAAATGAAGCTGGGATTTGAATTTCCTGCACTTCATTTGAATAATGGCAACCGTGGCTTTTTTCGAAAAGCCACTTTTCAAAAAAAAAAAACCGCAGTCAAGATGGGGATCGTTCAGCAGAAATGCCCTGCTTCTAAAGATCCTGTAACACTCACTGTCTCTGGAGGGCATCATGTTAGGGTTGCATTAACAGGTATGTTGTGAGCAAGACACGAGAAATCATTCTTCTGCTCTACTCTGCGCTGGTTAGGTCTCACTTGGAGTATTGTGTCCAGTTCTGGGCACCACATTTTAAGAAAGATGCAGAGAAATTGGAGAAGGTCCAGAGAAGAGCAACAAGAATGATTAAAGGTCTAGAGAACATGAGTTATGAAGGAAGACTGAAAGAATTGGGTTTGTTTAGTTTAGAAAGGAGAAGACTGAGAGGGGACATGATAGAGGTTTTCAGGTATCTAAAAGGGTGTCACAAGGAGGAGGGAGAAAAATTGTTCTCATTAGCCTCTGAGAATAGGACAAGAAGCAATGGGCTTAAACTGCAGCAAAGGAAGTTTAGTTTGGACATTAGGAAAAACTTCCTAACTGTTAGGGTGGTGAAACACTGGAATAAGTTGCCTAGGGAGGTTGTGGAATCTCTATCTCTGCAGATATTTAAGATCAGGTTAGATAGACATCTATCAGGGATGGTCTAAACAGTACTGGTTCCTGTCATGAGGGCAGGGGACTGGACTCGATAACCTCTCGAGGTCCCTTCCAGTTCTAGTGTTCTGTGATTCTGTGTATGTGTCTAGCACTCCTCCTGGCATGTACAAAGAACTGCAGTGACCGACACTGGAAGGAAGAGAAAAGCACCTTTTATGATGTTGCATTAGACCAAATGGTGTATTTAGTGTAATTCAGCATTGAGTACAGGAAGCTAGGGAGTACAGACTTTCAGAACTCTGATAGGATATTAAGAGCCAAATTGGCATAAATGGAAGTTACTCCAGTGTCTTCACTGCTGGCAAGAGAGTGTGAATAAGATCATAAAGAGCCTTCTTATAAATGAAAACCCAGTGGCTTCTGTCGCAGCAAAATCTCTTTAATGGAGTATTAGACTACATTATTAAAATGATTAAATTATTGTAAAATTTCGGAGACATCTCAGGGCCTCTGTTTAATTTTCTGGTCTTCCAAAGAAAGAAGTCGACCAGAAGAGGTGTAAGAGCAGGTTGTAGACTCTGGGATAAAAAGAGGCATTATGAGTGAATTTTAACAAGATACTAGGGAAAATGGGGGCTTGCTTCAGACATCCAGGGTACGTCTAGACTACATGCCTCTGGTAACAGAGGCATGTAGATCAGGCTACCCGGCATAGGAAAATGAAGCAGCGATTTAAATAATTGCCACTTCATTTAAATTAAAATGGCTGCTGTGCTGAGCTGATCAGCTGTTTGTCGGCTCAGCACGCTAGTCTGGACGCTCCGCTGTCGACATCAAAGGCATTTGTCGACCATCCCGTTATGCCTCGTAGGATGAGGTTTACTGGGGCGGTCGACAAATGCCTTTGATGTCGACCGCGGAGCGTCCAGACTACCGCGCTCAGCGCGGCAGCCATTTTAATTTAAATCAAGTGACGATTATTTAAATTGCCACTTCATTTTCCTCTGCCGGGTAGCCTAATCTACATGTCTCTGTCGCCAGAGGCATGTAGTCTAGACATACCCCCACTGTGATGTCTTCTGTTCTGACGTGTCAGTTGCTAATCAGGTTGAGAAAAGGGGGCGCTTTATTGAACAAAAATAGAGCATCTCAGGAGTTCTGGTGTGTGGTGCTCTGAGGCACCATGTGTGTGCTCTGAAAATGCTACCTTCCTGTCTGTGTCCTAGCCCTTTCCCTTTGAGTGGCAATCATTCTGCCTCCATCTCTTCCAGCTCACTCTTCTAAGAACAGATTTTGTCTGCTGGGAGTGTTGAAACAAAACTTTTGGCAACTTGGAATAAGCAATGCCTATCAGCAGGCTGAACCTCAGTCTATCATCAACTTGGTCTCACACACCCCTTTTTATTATCCCTATCATCCTGCCAATAAGTGTTTCTGGCTCCTTGATTGCATCCTCTAACCACCTGAGTTTGCACAAGGACGCAATAATGTATTTTTCTTCACATACCTTTACAAATGTACACCCTGCTTGATACAGTTTTTGTGTCATTTCCTTTGAGTGAAAGGTTTATGAATCATTGCTTTCAGCAACACTAAACTCAGGCTCATTGATGAAAATATTATGTCAGAGGAATTGTGGTCAAAGATTTAGCAACACAGAGCCCACCTTACTGTTGTGTGAGCTGCACAGTGAAATAACAATGCTGAGCTGTGAGTCAGCATCTTCATTCAAGACACTCTCTGTATATAAACTATACATAATGTATATAAACTGGGATGTAAGTTTATGTAAATTGTCAGTATTTTCTTTGCAAATAAAGCTTTTAACAGGTTTGATCTAGTTCAATCACATCTTAATAACTTCTTCCTCTTAAGAACCTCCTGATAGCAATTTGAGTTGTCAGTTCTCAACATTTTATGATGAGTTCCCCTTATATGATATTTTTCTTAAAGATCTGAGCTATGGGTATGCTGACCATCTGTCCCGATTTTCCCAGGACAGTCCCAATTTTTAATGTCCTATCCCGGTGCCCTGCGCAGCGCTGAAATGTCCTGGAAAGTCCCCAGGCTCCAAATGCAACTAGAAGCGGCTACACAGCTGATTCTCCTATCCCTCCCCTGGCTGGGGGAATGTAGGAGTCAGGGACACTTCCCAGGCTTTCCCTGCAGCTGGAGAATCCAGCCAGTAGCAGCAGTGGGAGACATTGCCTGTGTTGGGAGCATGTGAAATCAAGTAAGCGGCTGGCCTGAGGCTGGGGCTGGAGCAGACCAGCGCGTGGCTGAGCTGAGCCAATTGGGGGAGAGACCGAAAAGCAGCCTGTGGCTGAGTTGGGCTGGGTCAGGCCGGGGAGGAGGCCAGGAAGGGTTGAAGAGCAGTCCGCAGGCCAGCTGGGCAGGGGAGGCAAAGAGCAGCCCGGCTGAGGGGGGGGGCATAAAAGTGGTGTGCAGCTCAGCTGGTCTGGGGGACTCAGGTGGGCACGCCGCTCAGCTGGGCTTTGGGAGAAAGAGGATGCCAGGAAACCCAGTTTGGTGGGTGGCAGCAGGGGGTCTGAACACCAGAGGGTTGAGGTGTCTCATTGGGGGCCAGCTCGGTGAGGGTTGGGGGTTTGGGGAGTTCTTTTGTTTCTCACTTGTGTGGTCCCCAACTGATTTTTCTGTGGATCAATGGCCTGACCCTAAAAACGTTCCCTGCCTCGGCCATAAATAAAGAAAACATTGAAACTTTTGTGTTGGATATAAATTAATATTATATTGATTATAGTTTGATAAACTAACATGAGAAAGTTAAAATGCTTAATCTGTTTAATAATGTAAATTAAACCATTCTCCCTAGCTGCAGCACTAGAAAAATGGCTCAGGTGTAATTATGTAATTAACGGTGAGTTTCTATTAGCAACTGCTGGTCCACAGAAAGTTTACATTGAGCCAGGTTGCCCACAGACCAATAAAGTTGAGAATCACCCCCGGCTTCTCCCCACGAGAGACCTCCTCAGGCTCCCCATTGCTCCAGAAGAGCCCACGGAGAGATCAGGTCTCTTACCACAGTGGTGAAATCACCATGTCACTCTGGTGTGGATGATGGACAGGCTTTTTGTAGTTTATTTTTGAAATAACGGACAGCTTATTCTGACTTCTTTAAACCTCATTCTCTGAGGAATAATGCCTAATCTGAAATAGCTAGTTTGAAATAAGGCATGTGTAGATGCTCCATTTCTGCTATTTCGAAACAGTCTAGCACCTAGAAGCAGTCAAGTCACAAGAGCTGATTCTCTCTGTATCCCCGCTAATGGGATTCAGTTCCTCTGATGCTGAGCTGCAGAGCTGTACGGAAAGCAGTTTCCCCGGGGGGATACAGTAACACACTCGTATTTGGACGACATCACTGGCTCCATCTACATAAGGGAGTGCAACCCACAGCTCCCTCAGTTCCTTTGCCACTGCCACAAAGAAGTAACAGCTCTAGTTCTCTGGTCTATGAGATGAGTAGCCTGGGCTCTTTGAATAGTCACAGATAATTAATTTTTGTTAGTGACTGGTAAGATGGAATGTTGGTCTTGGGTTATCTCCAGGACTATGTCATGTCTCAAATTCCGTATGCGTTTGCCATGTTCCCTTAGACAGATGCAAGTGTCCAGTGCCCCAAGCCTTGGAGAATCACACATAGCATCCTGGTGCGTGACTTGCTATGTTGTACTCCTCTGACAAAGGCCAGGTACCACAGCCTGCGAGCATCTGAGCAGACTGCCCTGATATATCTGTAGGAAGCCTGAGATCCTGTGCCGAGGTATTTTATAAAGAAACCCAAGGTGCACCTAGGCACTCCCACCTTGGCAAGTCTCTCAATATTGGACCCCAGGTCCACCTTTCTAAGGTTAATGTCTGTAGGGATTGAGCTTCCCATCTGGCACCATCTAGCATCACAAGCTCCATGTAGACAGTCCATACTTGCACAATGATCTGAAGTAGCACTGAAGACTCCTTTGATCCTGTTAGAGTATTTTCTGGTCTATGATGTAAGCAAAAGGCAGGCGCTTCCAGATCTCCAACTGACCCTGCCCCCAGGAAAAAGAAGAGGAGGAAGCATCCAATTTGCAGAGAGGCCAAGGTGAAGAAAACAGGATGCATCCTTCTTCTTCAGCACTGCCACATATCTTTTGAGGACTCTTTACCAGTCATGCTATGACCTTTGGCATATGCCCCTCCTCGGCTCAGGTCTCCAGTGTTGATACCATCACCACTATCAATTGTTCTTGTTGGAGAACTTCTCTCAATGCTGAAGGCGCACAGCCCTTTTCTGAGCCCCATGCAGAGCTGATTGGCTGGGAAAGGGGGCGGGTATTCACCCTCTGGGAGGCTGATTGGCTGGGAAAGGGGGCGGGTACTCACCTTCTGGGAGGAGCAGAAGCATCAGCTGCTGCCTACTATAAATGGAGAAGCTAGCTCTAGCCTCTACCCTAGGGCCAGGCAAAATATGATCTGCAGGCCAGATCCATCCGTGAGAGCCTCAGCCAGCTCCCTGCCTGCCCTGCACTCACTCGGCACTCAGAAAAGCCGGGTGCAAGGCCACATGTGTGTTTCTGAAAGCTGAGAGCCTAGAGGAAGGGGAGACAGGCTTCTCATGCTGCTCCCACTGGCTGGTTTCT